ACCAGACCATGGATGATCCACTTACTTTTACTCTATAAAGGTGGAAGTGCCTGCAAATTGAAATCGTCATTCTGTGAGTCTAGTTGATAATTGTATCTCAGTTGATTGGTTTCTTCATATAGACACAGGTAAATCTTTTAGGAATGTACTTTGATGCATGAATGATTTTAGAAAATTCAGCAAATGAGGAGGCAGAAGCTGTGATACATGAAAAATCTTGACCTGAATATCCACCTGTCAATAGAGTTACACATGTCAGGGAATGATGGATAATATGATTTAACGTCTACTCACTGGGCTGCTTATTTCAGTATCTCACAGTTAATTCTGCCAGAGACTCAAAAGAAATGTTATGTCAGTGCCTTCCCCTCCTACTGCAGATAAGCAGCCCTGCCCTTATTTTCCATTCTAAAATGTAGATATTGTCTTTGTCTTCATAAATGCAGCATAATTAAGAGAATGGTGTCTTTGTTTGGCATTTCTTCTCATTGTAAGCAACTTTGGGAAAGGTATTATATCATAGACACCTCCCTATCCCATGCAGGCCCCAGATTCACACTTCGTCCCATAGTAAGTGATAAAAATTTTTTTTTCAATTAAAAAAAGTAAATATTTATTTATTTATTTATTTATTTATTTATTTATTTATTTATTTATTTATTTAATATCAAGAGTCTTGAAAGTTCATTTGCTGAAAAATAGCTTCTGATAACACAATACCACTCAGAGTCTACCAAATACAGATGATCACAGATACATGTATTTATGGTAGGGGCCCATTACAGGCAGTGCAAGGAGGGTCATCGGATCCAAGCCTCATGTTGGCAAAGAGGTCACAGACTAGTGACATTACCTCCGAATGAGATTAGACTGCCATCCCTGGAAAAGTCTATCATATCTTATTTTTTGACATGTCTAATTTTTTTTTAATACACCCAAAACCTCAGAAAATGGTGGTAGGACCCTTGACCGATGAGAGGCAAAAATCTCACACATCTGGACCTAAACTCATGCACAACAGGATCGGCAGATGGATGAACGTATTCACTTTGCTTATCCCTGTCAATTTGGCTGAGAAACAATAGCATGGGATCCACAGGTCTGCACAAGAATGCACCATTCAGCAGGGCAAGTGCTAACAGAGAGAAAAAGTGCAGAAATGCTAATCCATATTCCCACAGAAATGCTCTGGTTTCAATATTCCTTTTGAAAAACGTAGCTTCTCTAGTAAGTTGGTCACACTCCAAGAGGAATTAAGCTTGAAAGATAACAGAACTTCAAAAGCCAAATTGAAAAGACCAGACCCGAGGCTGTGAGGGGCATTCAGAAGAGAGAAGGATTTTAACTCAGCTTTCAAAGCATGTTCTCTCTCCTCTTTGAAAGTTTCTGACACTTTCAGAGCTGCTAAAGATTTTCCCAACCAAGACATCTTTCATCAGAAAACCATGAAATAACAAAAAATCTCTCTCCAGGTAAAATAGGAGGAAAAATGTGAAAGTAAGTTGCTGTTTGCTCTGCTTCTTCTTGAGCCTAACAAGTATCTCCAAGAAAGCTGCTTGGGTCTTACTTATGTCACGGTGCAGTGGCAGGATGCACATTCCACTGTGAGTGGAACTGAAGCTCCAAACATGTGGCCCCAACAGGAAGCAGAGGTCTTGGCAGGTTGCCAGAAATGTGTCTCCGTGACCCATTTGCCAGAGATGGCCAAAAACCAGAAAGGAAAAAATAGGAGGTAGGAATAAAGGTGTAAGTACATGTCTCAATACTTACAGCCCTGCCTTTTTCAGGCTACTTCCTTTTACCAGAATCCCTGGTTGTCCTGCATTTACCTGGCTAACCTCTGCTGACCCTTTAAGACTCAACTAAGGATCATAATAAGTATATACTATTTTCAAATAATGACTGTGTTTCAGATAAGGAGAACAAACTAGTGGTTACCAGTGGGGAAAGGGAAGGGAGAGGCAGTGTAGATGTGCGGGAGTGGGACACACAAACTATTGGGTATAAAATAGGTTAGGGATGTATGTGCAGCACAGGGAATATAGCCAATATTTTATGATAACTGCAACTGGAAAGTAATGTTTAAAAGCGTATAAAATATAAAAAAAATTAAATTAAAAAATTTTAAATAAAAATTTAAAAATAAACAAGGTGGAGAAGTTCAAAAATAATAATAATAACGACTGTGTTTAACAACTGGCTCTCAAAATTTCTGACAACTTATCAATCAGCCCTTGACAGCTATTAAGGGCCAGCTACAACACACTACTGATTATTACTTATTATCCACAGAGGCCACAATTCTCATTTTAGTTCTGTTGTTTCATTAATGCTCACTGTGACTTTCTGAAATAGTTATCATTTTACTGATGAATAAAAGGATCTCAGAAAAGTCAGATAACCTACCTGGAACCCCACAGCTACTGTGGTTATGCAACCTCCACCTTCCAAATCCCCAAATTCTGTTACACCACCTTGTCATTCATAGAGCAAAAATTTAATTTTAAATTGTTTTATTCTTTAATAAAGTAGATTATGTTCCATTTAAGCCAAGATCCTCTGAATTCAGCGAGTTTGTGGACATTGATGTGTTTGACGTCATTGCCACTAAGTTTAGTGACAGAAAAAGCCATTAAGCTAAATAAGATGCCATTGTGAAGCAGGACCCTATCTGTACAGTCTCCCAAGAAAGTACAATAGAGCATAGAGCGCTGTCACTGGGTAGGAAATCTTCCTAGAAACACTGGGAACCACCTCAATCTATCCTCTCATTTTCCTTTCTTTTCCCTAAATTAATTCCAGCTCGACAAAATTAATTCCTTTTTAATCAAGTCAACATTTTGTACAATGAACCTCAAGATGAATATCTAATAACATTTCAACTACTGTTTTCAACTAATTCACAACAACATTTGTTATAGCTATAATTTTTGTGATTCAGAGTTAGTGTTTCTTCTTACCACATACGTGATGATGCTTTCTTTCTAACAAGCAGTGTCACTGTGAAATTAAATGGAAGCCCCTAGGAACAAAGCAATTTTTTAAAAAGTAATACATTTTCCCTAAAATAGAAAGAAAGAGCTTACAGAAAAACATATTTTATAATTCAAAAAAAATTAGTAGTTACTACTAGGGAATATTTAAACCTCTATACAATCTACCTAAAAGGATCAAAGGCAGTTGTTCACAATTATAAACTTTCCCAGGAGAAAGACACCAAAATTAACTCCATTAAACAACAATATATTTTATTTGAAACACTCCTATGAAAAACCACTTTGATCTATCACTGGTTGGTTAAGGTATTCTCATATGCCTTTGCTGTAGAGTTATTTTAAGTCTTGTAATAAACATAATATATTATTTTTAATATCATCATCAATTTAAAATGTTATTTTTCCCTTCATGGTTGCTTCAGGAAGTTCTAAAGAACTGTGTACAGTCCAGAAGACTGATCTGGTTGCAAGCGTGTTTGCTCTTGTCTTCACGGTTCCTGCTTTTCTATCCCCTGCCTCCAGTTATAACCTCTTTTTGTTCTCTCTCTGATGTTCTCATTTCCTCCTCCTCTTCATTTCTCTCCTGGCATTCAGCAAGGGAGCAGATGGAAAAGAGAAAAGAAAGTGGATATATGCCCAGAGCCAGCACAGTGTGTACATCATTGGAGCTCAGGGGATAAGTGACTGAAGGGATGGAGGGGACGCATTATGCAAGGGCCAGGGGACTGTCCCTCTGTACCCATCTCATTCACAATGTACTTTTATGTACAAGGCTTTTGGCACTGAAACAGAAAACATAGTGGAGGGATGAAATAAGGAAAAGATATAAAATAGAATAATAGAGCAGATTGGAAAAAGAGCATCTCAACACACCTTGTCTGCTTAACTAAATTGGGTGTGATCCAGCAAAACTATTCTACGTTGGTGTCATTGGTGCTGTTGGGAAGGGTGTAGGATTTACTGAACCCAGGAATAACCTAGGGCAAAGGGGGCTGATGCTGGATGATGAAAAGAGATCTTCCATTTCATTTAATGTACTTTGCTTACTTAAAAAGATAGACAAAGGAATATTTATTAATTTAAAGATGAAGTTCAGGAATGATTGCCCAAGGAATATTTCCTGGGCAATGCTGAGTGGATCGGTTGCCATTAAGCATATTCTTAAGGTTCTTTCCTGCTTGGTAATAATAATGCTACTAACAACAATTTAAAACCATTATCATTCTCATTGATTCAGTGATTATTATATGACAAGCACTGTTCTAAAGACTTTACATGCATTAATTCAATTGTATCTCACAATAAACTGTGCGATAGAAATGATTATTATCCTAACTTTACAGTAAGCTGTTATATAAAGAGATTAATAATTTATCCAATAGCTTATTATTCTAAAGATAAACCCTAGATTCCTTAGGTTTCTAATCAAGGCCCTCCATTATGTGGCCCCAAATGCTTTTCAGAATCAGATCCCACTCCTGGCTGACGGCAGTAGTACTCATTAGGACCTGCCATATCTGCTCCTTGACTACAAACTGCACTCCCACCACTGCTCCCACCCAAGAGGCCCTCCTTGCCCTCTGCCTTGGATCGTCATATCACACAAAATTCTGCTCTAGTGTCAACTCTTTCACGGCGATACCTCTGACCATTCTCACCCAATGACCCTCACACTCCACTCTTGCCAGTCCTACCTCGTAACTTCTCTGACTTACCATCTTACGTTACCATTTAAATGTCCATACCAAAGCCTTGTTCTTCCAACTAGAATGCTAACTTGGTGTTAATCATGTCTCCACAATACCTAGCACGGCTCTGAATACAGTTATCCTCAGTGCCTTTTTTTGTTAAATTAATGTATTCTATAGCTTATTCAGAGGTTATTCTGTTATTCTTTTCATCAGAAATGCACTCTGTTTTTGGACCCACACCTCACACATCTTCAGCATGAAAAATGTATGTAAGTCTGAAGATTGCTTCTATGCTGGTAAAAAGAACTTATGAGATTATCTATTAATTAGGATATTTGCTACCTCATAGTCTTTTACTCTATGTTCATATGCTATAAAAAAAAAGAGCACTAGAAACGAATTTCCCACTGTAAGCAAACTAGTTAAAATAACACTGGAAAAATTCACAGCGTAGGGAAGAAACAAATATTTGAAAGTAAGTGATTTTTCTTTTAATCACGTATGAGACCAAAGGCAAGGCAGATGTAAAGAAGTAGAGTGACACATGCTACTGGAGTTATTTTTTAATAACCTCAGTGATCTTTGTAGAAGGAAAAGTGACAAAAGTTAAAATGAGGAAAAAGTAATTTTTAAATGACAGGTGAATTTGGAAGTCGGGAATATTTTGGGGGAAAGTAATTCACAGCTTTTTAAGTGTATTTCAATGAGGTGGAAACTCACCTCATTGTTTTGTTTGTAAAACTGAATTGTTCTGGAAAACTTGCCCAAAGCAGACACAGAGCAGCTGGAAGGATGATGATGATGGTGAACACGCTGCATGCTATTAACTCCAGTCTGGTGATGGACCATTAGACTAAAGATGAGAAAGAAAAAGAAAAAAAGTTTAACTCTAAGTGAGAGAAGTAAACAAGCTAGCTACTTTCAATGTACTCTCTGTGGTTTTATTTCAAACTGCTCTTTAGGGGATCAGAAGTGTATCAGCTCTTGCAAGCCGGCAGTGGAAACCATCTTTGTGTCCCGCACAAGGTTCATTTTCTCATAAAACAAGAGACTGAACAAGATTGCAGCATCAACATTTACTGGTCACCAACAAAATTAGTGTTAACTCATTTGAAAAAGTCCTGATTGGCCAAATTCTTAGCTCAGCACTTAAAAACCAAGGAGATGATGGCAGTCAGGAATTCAGGAGGAATTCTTGAGGAATTGAAATTAGGTAACAATAATAAAGGCCCGGGGATGCTGGATTCAGGAAATTGTAGACTAGCTGGTTTAACTTGTGTCCTAAAGACAGTATCAGGCTTTATTTTTAGAAATCTATCAGGAATACTACAGGACAAAGCTTCCCTTCATTAAGGAGAGCAAATCTGGTTTTAAACCACTCTCACTAACAGAGGTAATAAGACATCATCTGAAGATATTAGAGCTGAGGAGAACAAAAAGGAAAAGCCAACATCATAATTTGATTGCCACAGAAAGTATGAGAGCATTTCATGCTCAGAGTAGAAGCTGTAAAGGGCAGAGTCGGAGATAGGCTAGTAATGGCCCCGGCAGCACGCAGTGCTAACACTCAGATGAGCGACAGAAAGGTTCTGCAGCCTCAGGTTCTTAGAATGTTCGCAGGGGCAGTACCCTACATGTGAAATTGTTACGTACTGAGGAGTAGTTTTTATTAAACATAAATAATAGATTACAACTTGCCTTAGAACACGTTCCAATATGGTATTAAGTACCATGACTAAGAAATGAAAATTCAATCCAATACAAAACTTGGTATTGGTCAGGGCTATATCTCATCCATACAGCCTTCTGGAGAAGGTATGAGCAGGCAATGTATACATCTAGAAGATTTTGAGTAAAAATAAATGTCCAATATTTCTTGTCATGGACTTCCACTCTAAAAAAAAAACCACTTTTGGCTTTGAACAGAACATCTGACCAATTCAGTCTAAAGTCCCATCAGTCATAGAAATGCTCCGGGGCAGCTGGATTAGTGATCTTTTTAATGCACTGACTCTGCATTGAGGTGTCAGGATTTTATTCAGGGGCATAAGATACTTCTTAAGAAAGTAGTTTCTTTGATGGCTGTGTTAACCCTTTTATTTCCTAGACTTTGAAGCAGCATCAACTAATCTAGATTTGCCACCATCCCCAAACATTTATTGAGGAGATAAAACCAAAATGCATACAAATATGTATTGAAATAACAAAGGAGCATAAACTATGTACCAAATGAATGCTCAGGACAATACATGCCACAGAAAGAGGTAACAGTGGTCTGGAAAGATCAAGACAGAATACACAGGGAATGCAGATATGAGGTGAGCGTGAAAGTACTGGAAGGATAAATAAATGAAGGAGAGGAATACAGACATCCAGGGAAAGGAAAATGTGTCAGTAAAGATCTAGAGGTTGGCATTCATCTGGCTTGTCTTATCTGAATACAGCACAGGATTCCTGCACCAGATACAATGAAAAATGAAATTGGAAAGGTAATTAAGAATAAAATGATATTGTTTCTTGACTGTCAGGTTTAGCAGTTTGTTTTAAATTGGATTGGATTGATGATTTAGGAAGTTTGAAGGGGTCTCTGTGAACAAGATGGGTCAAAAGAATAAAGATGGAGAAATCATCAAGATTATTTCAATAATTCAAGCCAACCAAACCAAATATACTAGTGGCCCAAGGGCCCAGTCTGGCCCACAGCAGATTTTATTTGGCCTACATACTTTTTTTTAATTGAGATATTATTGACATATAACACTGTGTAAGTTATAACATTGATGTATAACATTGTGTGAGTTTGCACAATGTTATAACATGTTATATATTGATACATGATATATATTGATAGTTATATATTGTATTATGATTACCACTGTTGTATTAATTAATATTTCTGTCTTGTCACATGATTATCATTTCTTTTAGTGGTGATAACATATATGATTTAGTTTCTTAGCAGTTTTGCAGTATATAATACAGTATTGTTGGCTATACTCACTATGCTGTGCATCAGATCTCTGGAACTTATTCATCATTTAGTTGAAAGTTTACACCTTTGACCAAAATCTCCCCAATTCCTCCCACACTCCAACCCCCAGTAACCAACATTCTGTTCTCGGTTTCTATGAGTTCAGCTTTTTTTGAGATTCCACACATAAGTGATATCATACATTATTTGTTTTCTCTGACTTTTCTCACTTAGCATAATGCCCTAGAGGTCCATCCATGTTGTCACAAATACACATGTACTTTTTTAAAAATTTAAAATAAGTTGCCAAATTTAAAATGGGAATGTTTCCCATTAAAGCCTGTATTTCCAATTTTTCCAAAAAGGCTGTTTCAAGACCTTCATAATCCCTAGGGCCTAGGCCCTGAGTTTGGAGACCCCATCCCATTTTCTAGCAAACATACCTAAGTGAAGCCAAATCCCACATTAAATATAACCTATACTCAACTTTCCAGAAGTTGATTTACATTTGATTAGTTGACAACAATTTAGGTTTTACAGACACTTAATTAAGATACTTATTAATTTCAATTTGTAATTTTGTTTTTAAAGCCAAAATTCTTTTTTAATTTTAGGTTATACATACTTCATCAGTTCTTAAAAAGCTCTAGACTGTCGACCATGCCTGTGGGTCCTAACAGATAAAATAATACTATTCTCCTAAAAAATCTGATTGTAGCACTGGGTCCACAATTGTATAAAACTAATCATTAGACGAGGCTTGTACTTGGCAGACATGACCAGACTGCATCAATCATTTACATCACCTGCCTGGACCCTGCAAGCGTTTACATCTGGGACCTCTGCTTTAGATCCCTGCTGCTTAGGATGTGGTCTGCACACGTGCAACATTCACATCATCTGGGAGCAGGATAGAAATGCAGAATTTCAGACCCCATTGTTGACCTGCAATTAACATGTCAGAGAGCATTTTAATACCATATGAACACTAAGGTTTGCAGGCGTTATTTTGATCAATGTGTGGGCCCCAACTGGCATCATCAGCATCTCCTGGGAGATGTAAATTCTCTTGGTTTGCTCCAAATCTACTAAATTAGAAACTCTGATATTGGGACCTAAGAATCTGTGTATTAAAAAACTCTCCAGATGACACTGATGAACACCAAAGTTGGAGAGTCTCAGGTTTAAAAGTTTCCTAAACTAGGACATTTACAAATGAGAAGAAGAATACAGAATTGAGTATATATATTACTGCAAACAAAAGATCAATAGAATTTAGTGACTGCTTGCAGCTGAGAGATGGAGAAACAGAAGATTCAAGGGTGACAAAAATGTGAACCCATGGATTTTTGGTTGTCCACAAGATAGGAAATTTTATTTGCCATAATATCTCTGTTAAGGTTTTTCACTAATCAAGGAGGCAGCTCAAGAGAAGCTATTTCTCCAAGGAAGAAGCAGCTGCTGGGTTTCAGTGAAGCAGAGGTGCAGGGCGTGGGAGCGCACCCACTCTCAGGAGCTGAGCGCATGGCTGTAGGTGGGAGCAAAATCCTCTCACTTTTCGGGATGAGAAGGTTCTGTGTGAGCATGAAAAGGAGGAGGAAGGATAAAATAAAACTCCTGTGTGGATGGCTGGAAGAGATGAAAGTGAGAGAGCAGAGTGGGGAGAACCGGTGGGAATGTGGAGAAACAACTCGTGGGAGAGAAGACCATGCAGATGTTCCCTCTGCACTGAGCATGCTCTCCTCATGCTGCCCTCTTTGTAGTTTCTTCAAAACAGAGTAGGGAAATGAAGTTCAGAAGTTATAACTTGTGTTAACTGCTCAGATCTGCTTCCTCAAGTGTGACGCCATCCTTATACCGGGTCATGTGGACCCCTGAATCAATTTGGCTTGGAAAAGAATAATGATGCATTTTATTTAAGCAGGAAAGTCAGAGAGAAAGGAATCAAATTTTACACATGCTGAATTTGAGGTGTCAGCAGAAAAATCCAAGTCAAAATGTCCAACAGGCTATCATAGGCACACAACTGGAGCTTGAAAGATTGAGCCAGGAGATTTAGATTTGATAGTTATTTACACAAAAGTAACCACTGGAGTTAGCAGACTGGAGGAAATTGAAGAGTCAACGAAACAAGGAAAAAAGACAAATGAAGCAATAAAATCTTCTAGGCTTTGGAAGCCAGGGGAATAGAGTTTCAAGGCTAGCCCAACTTTGAGCCCAGATCACTTAGGTATTTTCACATATATCAGGTTATTTAATCCATATAGCAGCCCTACAAGATGGGTAATTGTCAGGAGGAGGGTATAGCTCAGTGGTAGAGAGTGTTTGCTTAGCATGCACGATGTCCTGGGTGCAATCCCCAGCACCTCCATTAAAATAAATAAATCTAATTACCTCCCCTGCCAAAAATTTTTTTTCTAATTTTTAAAAATGAAAAACTTTAAAAAAAATGTGTCTTTATCCCCATTTGCTAGATAGTAATATCAAAACACAGAGAGATTTCCTGATTGGCCCAATGTCACACAGCTTAGGAGCAATCTATCTAGCACAGTGTTTCTCAACAGAGGTGATTTGCCCCTACAGGACTACTGGCCACATCTGGAGATATTTTTGGTAGCTATAGCCTAGGGTGGGGTTGGAGGGAGAGGAAGGGGAGGATACGAGGTGGAATGGGGTTGGATAGAGACCAGGGATGGTGTTAAACTCCTACAAAGCACTGAATAGAGGCTATCCCTCACAACAAAAAGTTACCTGGCCCAAAACATCAGTAGCTCTGCCACTGAGAAACTATATTTAGCATAGTCTTTCTAATGTGGTGCATAATCTTTCTACAGCACTACTCTATTCACATTTCAACCAGGTTGATCCACTACTACCAACAT